GCAGGAGTGCAATGGCATGATCACAGCTCACCACAGACTCGACCTCCTGGTCTCACGTGATCCTTCCACCTTAGCCTCCCAAGTTGCTGGACCTACAGACACATGTCACCACACTCAGCTAATTTTTTATTTATTGTAGAGACTGGCTGGTCTTGAACTCCTAGGCTCAGACAATCCTCTTGTCTCAGCCTCCCAAAGTGCTGGGATTACAGGGTGAGTCATGGCGCCTGGCTTAATTTAAAAAAATTTTTTTTTTTTTTTTTGAGTTGGAGTCTCACTCTGTCGCCCAGACTGGAGTGCAGTGGCCGCTCCCGGCCACCGCAGCCTCAATCTGCTGGGCTCCGGCGATTCTTCCGCCTCAGCCTTCGGAGTTGCTGAACTACAGGCGCGCGCTACCACGCCCCGGCTAATTTTTTATCTATTGTAGAGATGAGGTCTCGCCTGTCCAGGCGGGTCTCAAACCCACGGGCTCAGGCAATCCACTCAAAGGCAATCCCTCCCAAAGGCACGGGATTACAGGCTGAGCCACCGAACCCAGCTTTAAAAATTTTTTTTGAGAGATGAGGTCTCACTCTGTTGCCCTGGCAGGTCTCAATCAGACTTCCATAGTACTGGGATTACAGGCATGAGCCACAGTGCCTGGCCTTTTTTTTTTTTCAGCTGGAGTCTTACTCTATCACCCAGGTTGGAGTGCAGTGGCAAGCTCACGGCCACCACAGCCTCTATCTGCTGGGCTTAGGTGATCCTTCTGTCTCAGCCTTCCAAATAGCTGGAACTATAGACGCACACCACCACACCTGGCTAATTTTTGTAATCTATTGTAAAGACAATGTCTTACCAAGTTGCCCAGGTTGGTCTTGAACCTCCGGGCTCAGGCAATCCTCTCACCTCGGCCTCCCAAAGTGCTGGGATTAAAGCGGAGCCACCAAGTCCGGCCTTATTTTAATTGTAGAGATAGCCGGGCTCGGTAGCTCAGCCTGTAATCCCGTGCTTTGGGAGGTTGAGGTGAGTGGATTGCCTGACCCTGCGGGTTCGAGATCCACCTGGGCAACTTGGCAAGACCTCATCTCTACAATAAACCAAAAATTAGCCAGGTGTGGTAGTGCGCGCCTGTAGTTCCAGCTACTTGGAAGGCTGAGGCTGAAGGATCGCCGGAGCCCAACAGGTCGAGGCTTCGGTGGCTGGGAG